GGGTGGCCTTTCCTCCCTGAATGCTGATGTGTTCATTCCAATGACCATAAGTAAAATACAAAAATTAGGCTACAGATGATCAGCTACTTAGGTTTATATAAGGGGCATGCAGAAGCTCTGTGATATGGCATGTGAGCCAGCTGTTCAAAGAATTGCACAAGCTGCTTTTGAAATTCCTCTGTCAAAAGAAGACCATAGAAAGGGTTTTTATGAAAGTACTGTACCTGGCAAAGAATCTGGTGTCCTAACCATCTCTGCTTTTATTTAATGAAAAACGTAATCTGCTGGCTCTCAACATAGAGGAGAAGAGTGTGTAGAAATTGTGGGATGGTATACAAAGTAGCGTCAGAAACAAATGTGGCTCTTGTCTGGAATGTTGGTGGCCAGTGGCACCAGCAGAGTTCCTTATTTCATGCAGTTTCGGCCCTGATGTCCACTGGGGCCCAGTCTCCATACAGTGCTGTGTTCTTTGTCAAAAGGTTTAGAATATTAAGTAGTGGTAATACAAATAAATTAAGGAAACACAAAGTTGCTCAGTTCTAAATGTAGAATTTGGGTTTCCTTAGTGCAGATTTATTATTTGTGTGAGGGAACTTTTTTGCCGCTTCTTCCCAGAAGGACACTCACGCCACTTTAAATCTGTGTACCTGTTCAGCATTTTATCCACGATGCTTAAGAGACAAGGCCTGAGACATCGCCCTCCTCTCCTCTGTTTTAAACCAACCTGATGGACAGTTGTAGAGAACATGAATGCATGCACACTGTTTTGTGCCACGTGGATTATATTTTTGGATTTAAAGAAATTGGTATACTCTCTTGCTGATTTTAAAACTCAACACATTGTGATGCCTTAAAAAAATTCACTAGAGGGAGTTAGAAAATCAGTCTCTGTATGATTCTTCAACCCAATAAAACAAAGACTGAAATAGGACGACAGGAACAAATTGGGAAGTAAAGGCACTGAGCATCCAAATCTCAAATACTGTCAAACTGGGAAAATAAATATTAGCAATTTTACTCTCCTAATTGCTTTTGTCACTCATTATGAGAAAGGAATTCTGTTTAGACATTAAACCTTTCAAAAATTACTGTATTACTCTTAGATCATATACAAAAGTGGAAGCTTTTGAAAATAGAATAAAGGGCAGTACCAAAATAATAGAAGGAAAGTCCTGAGTAAGAGAATAAGGGATATGTTAAAAGGGGGGGGGGATATGTATTTTTATCAAATCTGATGTAACCCGCCCTGAGCCTGCTATGCAGGGAGGGCAGGATATAAGTCGATAAAATAAATAAAATATTGTATTAGCTGAGCATTTGAACTCAGCTTAAAGGCTGGGGAAATGCCAGCTGTAGATAATGGATTAAACAAATCCTACCATTCAATTCAGCTAAGTGCAGAGTTCTCATTGCTGAATATACTGTGCAAACCTATGTAGGGAACAATAATGAAATAATGAAATTAGCCCCTATTCAATAACAAATAAGGAGAATAATTTTTAAAATGCTTAGCATGAGGAAACTTATCCTTATATTTACTTAGCTTGCCTCTAAATTCTAGATGATTATGTCCCCATGATCTTGATTTACACTTAAATATTGCAAGGGGCTTTACTGTTAATGCTGTGGGACTGAGAGTTAAATCTGACCATGTTCTCTGAAGAGGCAGCATAGAAATGTTCTAAATAAATAAATTACAGGACTTTCATTTAGAACTGAGAGGTATCCTAGAAATGCTGTGAGTCAGGTGAGAGCAACTAATTTGCCTCTATAAGCATTATGAGTATTCTAAGTACTTTAAGTGCATAATCTTTACTTTGATTTATTGAGCGATTCTAACCTGAGACCTCTGTTCACATTAAATAGTCTCCAGAACCTAAAAAAGGTTAGTCAAATGCTAAAGAGGGCCAACAATAAAAGCTTAATATATGAAATATATAAAAAGATACTTGTCTTTATTAAACAAAAATTTTAAATTATATATAAGGGCCCAATTACACCTCATGTACAAATAACAAATTATGGTCCCGGTCACACGGCGAATTTGCCGCGGGAGAGCCACGGGTGGTGGGCGGATTATTGGGGCGCGATCACACCACAATATCTGGCAAGTGGAGCGCACCCGTGGCCAACCCATGGCATACCACCGAAAAAGCGCAATAAAAAAGCAGTACCTTGTATGTAGTGGCAAACTGTTTGCCACAGGCTGCCTCCGGACTCCTGCAGTGTGATCGCGCCGGCCCCTCGTTAATGCGCAGGCGGGGAGGACAGGATCTGTGGTTTGCCACCGACGCGTTCTGGCGGCTCTAATTGCACCAGAGCAATTAGCCACCCCTCCCCCTGCATTATCCGGCCCGTGTGACTGGGGCCTATGACACACAAGGGCTGATAGATTCGACCTGACGCGTTTCGGCCTGCATAGGCCTTCTTCAGAGGTCAAGTATAATGAGGAACATATTGGCTAAAATACAATACAATCATGCAGATACAAGATATAAAATCAATAGGGACCAGAAAAAAGTTGTTCCAAACTGAGACCACTAGGCACAGAATAAAAGTACAAATGAGGCCTCCAACAAGTGTAATCATGTACCAAGTGGTATTTTTCTGATATAAATTTCTGGTCCAGAAATTGCCTTCCTATGATTGTTCTGCCAAATGTCCACAATAGAATTGTCATTAAGCAAAGAGCAATCTGCCATGGAAGTCTCTATAGAAGATTCAGGTACATGTTCTAAGCTACACACTCAGTTCGTGTGGAGTACTCAACAGCACTTTTTGCTTCATTGTTTTGTTGAACTGAGATTGTGCTCTAAATCATGCCTACCATTCCCTTATGTGTGCACATAGCAAGAGAGGATTGGTAAGGAAACCTGTCTATAATTATCGATCGTCTCATTAGGGAGGCTTTTATAAGTCATCAAGAAGTCCAGAACCTCCCTAAACATAGCATAGAAACTGAATTTCTAAAGGACATGATATATATTTTTTGTATGTGATGTTTGTAGTCTGTAGGAAAGCTAAATATTTATGTGGCCTTTCTGGAGTGGGATCAGGTTATGGGATTTCTGATTGTGCTGCTATGAAAATGTGCTCTTAACTAATGTACATAACACCCAAATCTTTGTAGTAGAGTTCCAGTTATTTTAAATCTATTTCCAGACCAGCTGCATTCCACTGGCAGGGGTGGGGGGAGTGGCTGGCAAGCAGCTATTCCAGCTGCTGGTTCTTGGATTAATAAGAATTCAGATGACTGTAACCCAGAGTTTGAGAACAATATAGCATCCTATCAAAAATCATTAAATGGATTTTGAAATCCTTTCAGACATATATCTTTTTTGTCTATTAGAATGTTTTCTCTGCCCCCATAAGACTAAAACCTTAAAATTAAAGTTGAGAGGGCAGAAAATTAAAGTTGAGGGGGCAGAAATTTTATCAAAAATTTGAATGATTCTTGCTTTTTATTAAATAACTTGTGTAACTGAAGAGGAGGTCTGTTGTTGAAAAGGGATGTTGTGATTACCACTAACAGAGAATTCATGGATCTAACTGTACTCTTAAGCTTTTTTGTTTATGTAGTATTCTGTATCGATTATTTCAGCCCCAAGTATATAGTGACATTCAGGTATTTGGCTTTTTAGTACAAGTTTCAGTTTGATCATTTCTCTTGGGTTTGCTTGCTATGCCACATTAAATCATGGCATATGAAGCAGTGGTAATACATCTCCACAAGTCAACTGGTTCAGTGCTCTGGCATCACTGGGAAATACACTACATGCTATGGTGATTTGCACAATAGTTATGTACAGTAACCAAGCTACATACATATAATTGAATGTTCAACATAAATGTTTATGTCCAAGCTAAAAGAGGCTGGTGCATTCCAGTACTTAGTATGCTTATTCTGAGACAGCAGACATTCAGTAAAACACCTTGTTTGGTCTGGTTTAAGAAAACAAATGCCCGGTGAACTGAAAAATTAATTTTGAAGTTTTAAAATTAGAGTTTTCTTTGTCATTCTTTTGCATTTTTAGAAGTTGAAATTTAAGCTGCCTAGATCTAGGATGATATTTTGAAAGTTTTTGCCAAAAGCATAAATTCTGAAGCCTTTCTGTGAAGCTTTTGGGGGCTAGCACAGAAATAGATATTGCCCTTAGAGTTTTATGTAGTTCGTTATAAAGTTGTGTTTTTGGTTTAAGCCAAAGTTAGTTCTTTAAATAAAACAGTAGTCTGGGGTTATACATAGAAGATAATTTAAGATGGGTTCAAGAATTGTTTTCAAGGAACTGTCTGATAACTTGGTAACCATCTTACCACAAAAAAGACAAAAATGACACAATGACAGTTTTCTGTCTAGATTAAGCTTAAAAACTTGCAAGTCTCCCACCCTCCCCTAGGTGTCCTGGTTGTCACAGACATCATGACTACTGAATGGGAAAGATGTATCATGCTGAAAGTTATTTCTCTGTTGGAATTTCAAAAGCCATCTTAAAAAGGAAACAATGTAGATGGTTTAGGGGCAAGAGTAGATGTGGGTAGAAGTTGCAGAGGACTGAGAAGAAGGTGCAGAGAACAGGAACTATAGGGAAGCAAATCTCAGTCAGAAACACAGCATAAGATGATCTGTGTGCTGCTTGCTGCGGAGGAGGCAAAACAGTAAGGAAGATGAGTAAAGACTGTGTCTCAGGAAGTAAATTAATTAAAGAAGTAAATTATGGTAGCCAATGTGCCAAATTTCTCCTGGCACTCTTAAATCTTGGGCTACAGCAGGATTTTGTTCAGCTTTTATCAAACTCTTGGTTTCACAAGTTATAATATGGATACAGTTGTTATGAGTTATCATAAGTGTGTTCCCAAGCAACCATAAGAGACGTTTAATCTCTGTGTGGGTCAAATTGTCACCTTGGACAAATTGGCACGTCTTCTAATGGAATTGTTTGTCCCAGGGCTGCACTGTACTGTATCAGATGTTGCTAAAGCGGTATCTTAATGTTCTTCAGCTTTACTAGTACACCAGAAGGCTAGGATGGAACGACTTCAACGAGAACTTGAGATCCAAAAGAAAAAGCTGGATAAACTAAAAACAGAAGTAAATGAAATGGAGAATAATCTAACACGAAGGCGCCTGAAAAGATCAAATTCTGCTTCCCAAATTCCTTCAGTAAGTCCTAAACTCTGGAGGGTGTAAAAGCTCATCATATGTCTAAGGACAAAATATTTGGGTCTTATTCAGATGTTAGAATTTGAAGGAAAGGATAATATGCTTTGCTTCCCGCAAACTTAATAGATGTTTGCTGTGCATAAATGTGTATTTGTTCTTGGAACAACAAATTAAAGCTTAGCCATGTAGACTCTGTATTGAAGTTATCAAAGACAAGTGCCATTCCTGGCACTGCCATAAGTCTTGTTCTTTCTTTGTCTGTTTCTAAGTATGTCACCTATGATTCTCTATTTTGAAAGGAAGTAACACTTTGGAGGAGCTGCGGTGGCTCAAGTGGTTAAGACGCTGACCTGCAGGCTGTGGAAGGTCAGTGTTTCAGCAGTTCAAGACCCGAGTTGCCGCATGACGGAGTGAGCTCCCGTCTCTAGTTCCAGCTCCTGCCAACCTAGCAGTTTGAAAGCAAGAAATTGCAAGTAGATAAATAGGTACCACTTTGGTGGGAAGGTAACAGCGTTCCGTGCGCCTTGGTGTTTAGTCATGCCGGCCACATGACCACGGAAACGTCTTCGGACAGCGCATGCTCTTCGGCTTTGAAATGGAGATGAGCACCGCAACCCTAGAGTCGGACTCGACTGGCTTTCGAGCAAGGGAACCTTTACTAACACTTTGGAACTAGTTTATGTGTTGGCTCCAATGCTTTGTGAATGGAGCAAGTTCAATGAGTGATTCTTACTGACTTCCCCTTCCCTCCAAAGCTCCTTCATGGTCTGAAAAGTCACTACTGTGAGTCAAGGGACCCTCCAGGACAATGTGCCATGCACCATTTGGGGGGCTGCGATAAGAAGAGAGCATCTTGGAAGGAAGTACTGTCCTTTTCTTTTGCTCTTGTTGGAGTAAGCTCCACAAACTCACATTCCACCTTCACAAGAGTGAGGGAGGGCAATTTCTTCCAAGTACCTCTTCCCACTGCAGCCTTTGCTGCATGTGTACTGTCCTGATGGGTCCCCTGAACTTCATTTTGAGTGCAAGGAGTTCACTGGGGACAGGAGAATCTAGTAAAAATTGCTTCTGTGAACTTGCTGTGCTCCTGCAATTGTGGGATCCCCCACCCTAAGTATTTCAAGGTCTGACAACTGATTGAGTAAGAAGGAAAAGTTAAATCTTTCTTCTCCTCAGCCAGGTGGCTCTTTGCAGTCTGTGCAAAAATAAGCCTTTGAAAACAAACAAAACTGTTGCTGGTAATTTCTTAAGTGAACAAACTGCTTAGCTGTGACCAGAAGGCATTAAAAGTAATTATCACGATAAGTGTCACTATTTTTATCCTAAAAATTTCATCCAACACATTAAATTGTAATCTCATTGTTCTGTTTTTCAGCTTGAAGAAATGCAGCAGTTGAGAAGTTGTAACAGACAGCTTCAAATAGACATAGATTGCCTAACCAAAGAGATTGATCTTTTCCAAGCAAGAGGTACTATCAGTATAAATAACTATCTTTGCCCCTTCGTCAGATCACCTTGGAGGGCTGGAGATCTTCAGTGTATATAAAGACTTAATGAACACATTGTATGATGGTTAATTATTTTATTTTGTTACAAAAGTTCTTAATAAAATTAAAACAAAATGCCCAAAGCTTTCTCTTTGCTCTGAAGAGTTTAGATGTCCCTGTTGGTTGAACATTCATTTATGAACAATCAAGTCTATATTTCTGCAAGTAAGGAAGAAATTAATTTAAATAAAAATATTAAACAAAAACACTCGTTCCCAGTATTATATCAGCTCTAGTGCAATTAGGAATAGCACAAAATATAGTGATAGACAAGTGAGACTGGCTTACTTTGCAGTGGCTTCTACTAAGTTTTGTGGAACTACACAGACTGTAATGAGATGTAGTTTAAAACCTCATTTTAACCTCTGAGATGGCCCTGGGGTAGATCTATCGAACATCTCTATGGTTTACATGAGTTAATGCATTGTCAAGTATAAGTGGTTGTCATTCATTTATGTGGGGGGAAATAAAGCACTGCAAATCAACAATTTGGTAGCAGAAGACAAAACCGCCCTCTACCCTGACCCTATTTGGCTTGGCTGCCACCAATCCAAACCTATTCTCTTCCTCTTCCTTAAAGCAGCTCTTCTGTCATACTGTAATTTGCTTCTAAGTTCCTTTTCTTGCAGGGGTGGGGAAATCATAATATCAGAAACATATGGCACCTTCCCTTCGAGTGGTAGGAATCAGTTTTATGTTAGTCAAAAATTACCATGGCCAACTGTGACACTTTCGGTCAAAATACAGTGATGATGCTACATATACAAAATTCTGGGACTGTTTCTCACCTCTTACTGGATAAAACTTATTTTGGAAAAAAAGACTATGCAGTTAAACCACATATATTTCCTACTTAAATTACATAGATGTTTATTCTAGGGCTTTTACCTGCTGTGCCTATATTCTGACTCTCTCATGATGTTAAAAACTCTACACTGCAATCCACAATACTCTACAGGAACACAAATATCTTTTGGTTGATTAATCTTATGTATGTGTGAAGAGTGGGAGATGTAAAAAAATGAATTTTCTTGACATCCCAACTGAAATTTAGTGTAAGGCCTAAAGGTTGCTGCAACCTGACTTGCTTCTCTTTCCATTTAACCCTTTTCCTCCTTGTATTTTCAAATAGAAAATATTGTTTTGAAGTTGAGTTCATAAATGGGTGTACAAAATTGTTAGTTTTCACTGGGGAAACCTATGGTCTCTTTATTTCCCCTAAAACTAATGAAATAATTTCCTGTCGTACAAATTACAAGAGTTGTTTTCTGGTGCACATCTGGCTAGTAACATTGATATATGTATTCTCCAGTGCTTCTGCTGTAGTTCCCCTTTTGTACTTTCATTGTCTTGTTGCTTTCTTTTTTTTCCTCCAGGACCACATTTTAATCCCAGTGCCATTCATAATTTTTATGACAATATTGGATTTCTAGGTCCTGTGGCACCAAAGCCCAAAGGTACCGTATATATGCATAGTTAACAGCCATTTTTTCCAGTATCGCATATGAGCTGAGGTCAGTTAGCATGTATGTAACGAAACTGCCATGTATATTTATTGTTCTCTTCCACGTGTGTGTGTTGCATCCTTTCCACTTGAGTCGTAGTTCTTCTCATTTTTAGAGTAGGGAGATTATTAACTGAAGGATTGTTCTGTCTAAAACAAAGATTTTGTAGATTTTTCACTATTGAGTGACTGCCTGAACTTTTAAATGCAGAACAGTGGGGAAAAGGAATGTAATCATGCAGTTCTGGCAAATGTTTTTACTACTCTTCCTAGAGTGGTGGCATAAAAAAGTTCTACATAAATGATAATGAAGTCTTCACAGAATGCCTGCTTTTTCTGCTGTTCTTATTTAGTCATGATTTCTTCTCTTTCACCCCAGCAGATCAAAGGTCCATTGTCAAAACACCAAAGGCTATACCTGACCCAGAGGAAGACGAGGGAGCTCAGTGGAATTGTACTGCATGTACTTTTTTAAATCACCCAGCCTTAAATCGTTGTGAACAGTGTGAAATGCCCAGGCATTTCTGAGCCGGAGAGGCTTACATCTTCTGTAAATCCAACCTTTGACTATTGTGTCATTTCCTTGGGATAAATAATCATTTATGCATAGGATTTTGTAAAATTGAGCGTGTGATAAGATGGTTTATTACTAATGTTAAATGTCATGCTACAGAGATTAATACCTCAGTGTTGTGCTGCAGGCAGCTGAAATTCATCAGCTGGGTGGTAATCTCCTGAAAGACTTGGTTGCCAGCTGCCTGGATCATGTACAGTATTACCAAAACCCCAGTAAGAGAAACTCACCATGTTCAGTGCTTGGGTGTTCCCTAACCACCTTTCTCCACACATGTCACTACTGAATTTTGACAGGGGAAGGGAATTAGATGAATAGCTTTTTTGTTGTTTGTAAAGCTTTCAGTTGTAACACTACATTCACCGAGGAAATGGAAATGTACATGTTGAAAGTGTGTTAAACTGTTCGCTGCCACATAGGGCCTGTGGATTGTGGAAGAATTCCGCAAGTCAGTGGTACTCTTCGCCTGTCTTCCCAGAAAATGGCTCTGCTCTGTGAAGACTCAAATCATTACAATCATGTCTGAAGATTAAAACTGCATGCGTTGTCTGTACAGTGCACCCAGTAAAATACCCCCAAAGCTTTTCCTACTGTACATAGCTCTGAAGCCTGCTTTAAATAACTTTCTTTTCTTCGCCTTTTATTATTTCTTGTACTTCTCAATGTATAGCGTTAATAGTCTTTGTTAACTTTCTTTTTCCCTTTAAATGATTACAAGTGATCATGACCCTTTTTTTTTAAGCTTTTGATCTGAGAGAAGCAGTGCCTTAAAATAAGAGCATTCATGATAAACGATGCCTAAACGATCTTTTTTCATTGCCTCCTGGTCTGTATGTTGCTCTTGTAATTGCTGATGATCTGTGAAGACCTGCAGATGCAGCATGGTGAAAATGCAGGGAAAGTTGAAGAGTTTATGCATATAGTTCACTCCGTACACTGTGTTTTACGGTGGGTGACACAATGTAAGGTTTTGTCTGGCACAAGGGAATCAAAGTCAAAACTATGCTCAACCCACCCAAGATCAGCCGCTAAATAAGCTTGGCTTCATCTGCTGTGGATATCTTGCAGACTCTTCATGAGGTTTTGTTTGGGGAAGTGCATGCAGTACACAAAGTGGCAGCAGTAATATAAAATATCAGTGCCATGAATGTCTTGGCAGCCAGCTTCCTAACCTGACTTTCTGGAGAATCGCAATAATGAGAACAATCTGAAATATAGATTGGGACAGAAAAATCAAGCAGACTTGAGAACACTGAGGCAATACCTAGCATCTCTTTTATATTCATCATCCTTTGTTCTTTGAAGGAAAGCATTCAGGTGATCAGGAACACACACACAGCTGAAATACAGAACATAGTTTTATATTTTTATATGCTCTCTTGCCTACTACAAAAAAGATGTAGTGTATTTTAGAATGAGGCAGGAGGGAGTGCTTAAATGTAGCAAGAGACAAAGTAGACTGTCACCCACTGTAAATATTTGCCAGTGGACATCTTAATAGGAATTTTACAAGTGATCTATGTGAATATACAAAGGCCTTCGTTTTAAAGGCTTTGTGTTTTTTTAAATGTGGGAAATAAACGTGAATCCCAAATAATTAGTCAGTAGATCCAAAGCATAATGCATTCTATGCATTTTGTTTATTAAAAAGAGGCCTTTTCAGCTTCATCTGCAGTTCTATGTGAAGATTGACAAATCAATTTTTACCTGTTGTATTAATAAAACCTAATTTGGATATCTTGAGTTGATGGTTTTGTGATTTAGCTGGGTAATCTGTCTTTGTAACAGATAAGTTATTTATAAAAATTAAAAAAATATATTGTAATATGTGGGTTTGTGTGTTTTTTAAACTTTTGTCACACAGCTATATGTGTGTGCTCAAATGACAGTTGAATGTAAACTAGCTGACCTTGTCTGTGCTCAGCCATCTTGTAAGCAGTGAGATGTTTTGTGCTTCTGTGTGAAAGCATAAACACTTTTAGGGACAGCAGCTGAATAAGCTTGGCTTATTTAGAGAGGGGCTGTGGCTCAGTGGTAGAGCATCTGCTTGGCATGCCGAAGGTCCTAGATCCAATCCCCGGCATCTCCACTTAAAGAACCAGGTAGAAGGTGATGTAAAAAGACTTCTGCCTAAGACCGTGGAGAGCCGCTGCCAATCTGGCTAGACAATACTGACTTTGATGGACCAAGGGTCGGATTCAGTATAAGGCAGTTTTCATGTGTCATGTGCCCATGTGACAGCTGTCCCTTCTCAGTGTACTGAGAAACAGTTCAGGGCATGCAATGATGAGCCCTCGCTTCCCCAGTTTTTCTACATGATTACTTAAAAGTGCCATATAATGTGGAATGAGTTTGATTTCAACTTGCAGGTTCCATTCCAATGTAGTTTTAAGAGATATCGTATTTTAGAGCTAAAGCCTGAACGTGATAACATCTGGTGCTTGATTTAATTTTATAAACCAGGAATCACAATTGCTTTAAAGTAGCTAGCAATACAGTTTGCTTTGATTAGAATATAGTAGCTAGATGTGCTTCATGTCCCAGACCAGGGTATTCATAAGAGTGAAACATTTCATCTTTTGCTGACAATGAAAATTACAATTGAACACCTTTTCTTGGCTATGAAATTATGTTAGGAGTCACTGTTGTTATGCAGAACTGCAGGCCTTAAAGAGAAATAAAATTATATTTAATTCAAGGAGCTTGCTTTCTCACTATTAGGTAAGTGCTTCCAGTGTGTGATAGCGGTATTGAAACTTCTATAGGATGCATGTCAAAACTATGTACATTCATGAAACAATATAGAACCTAGTTTAGGGACTATGACTGGTATACATCTACGTTTGATTTTCTAATATTTTGGTTGCTGTAGGATGAATGAGGTTGATAATCCCATTCCTCATTCAATTCAAATCATTACAGATCACTTATAATACTGGTTGCTTATTCTGTCACTGCGGTGCTTCATACCTCATGAATTTCAGGTAGAAAGGTACAGAGACAATTTCATTGGTGGTGGTACTGAAGCTCCCAGCACAAATAGTTTGACAATTATCATAGTATTAATGATGAGAAAATGGCATGGTAACAGAGCTTTCTGTAGATCTACTGTCATTGATTGTACTAATTATAATATGTATTAGCTTTAATGGTATATAATAGAATCTGAGTTGATGGAGACCTATGGATTTAAATCACTGGTTATCAACAGGTATATTGGGACCCGTAAGCATGTTGTACTCTGCAAGTTGCTTTTAGAAGTCTCTCCTCCAATGATACTATTCAGTCAAGGCTTTGACTTTTTCAGGTTTCTCTTTTCTGCTGTAGGCTAACAGAAAGGACCGTTCTCTGCTCTTTTCCATCTCAGCTATCCTCAAAATGCCACAGACAATGGGGAGGGCAGCTTCAGGAACTCACTACTACTACTAGAATGTAGCCCCTGGAATAATAGCAAATGTAGGGGGGCAAGCTCCCAAGAGTTCACTGGGTAATACTTCTGAGATAACTATGCAGCTGCACATGAAGTAGAGGGGAAGCTGGACAATGGCATTCATTGTGGTAATAACCAGAAGCTACTGATTATCAGCTGCAGTGAACAGCATGTAGATGTGGCTCACTGCAATGAAGGGGACTGCACAAAATGAGGTATCAGGCCACTATCATACTTGTCAGTTATGGGCTTGCTGTTAACAGCTTCCATTCTTCCTTGATGCATTAACTCCTTTCTGTTTGCCTTGCAAAGAGTTAAGCATTGTTCATATAAGCATTGTTCCTCCAACACTATTCCTGGGAAACCTGTGAGTTCGTTATAGATGCTTCCTACTCTATTATCTATGGAGTTACTGCTTCCTTCTCTGTGCAGCCCTGGCATAAGGTTGACTGGAGGCTGTATACATTTGTGTTGCCAAGGTCATTGAGCCACAGTCTATGGGAGCCATTACGTTTGTGGCTGCAGGCATTAATTACTGTCCTCCTAATCCTTCCTTTAAACTGGAGAGATGCTTTGGACTTTGCCTAGCAGAATGCTTCCATGAAGAAGAGGATATTAGTGTATTCCTAGTATAGCCAATGTGAGCATTGGTGCAAGTAAGTGATTAGTGGAAAGTGACAGCATTGCTAGTATCTCTGTGTAAGTCTTTTGCCATTGCTGTTTCAGCTCTCTTCTCTATTTTAGCTCTCTTCTCTTCTGTGCTGCTACTGTATAGACTGTAGGGGCCGAAACAGGATTTTGCCTACTGTCCTCATCCGTTTATCTCAGTGCTGTTTTATCTCTTTAGAGGGAAAGGCTGGTTAAAAATTGAATAAATTAAAGTCTGTTTAAATTTCATAATATCCAGTTTGTATCTACTGGATTGCTTCTTGATAAACAGGTAATGTATCTACGGTGTGTTTATATATTATCTAGCAACTTTGTACAAATAGAACCTGGGGTTGGGGCTGTGTGCATAACTAATATTTATGTGTTTTAGTAAGTAATGTTACATTTTCTTAATAAAAATTATCCGGCAACTATGAGGTGACTTTACATCTGTGTAGAAAGTGAAGCTACAAAGCTTGTAAGCCTCTGGGCAACCTACCAAAAAGTGGCGCTGATGCCTAGTTTACTATTACTAAGGGAATGTTTTTCTCTTTAAGGTTTTCAGTGAGTTTATCTTGTATGTAAATGGGACAGAAGGTTTTGGAATGCATCACTTTAATCCGTAAAGTTTATGAGTAGTCAGTTAGTGGATGATATAACTGCTTTAATTGGCCTTCATCTTAGAGCAAATGAGAGAAAGGCCTGAAATACTGAGAACATTGATTGGTTTAAGGGACTGGTGGCAGAGAAGAACAAGGGACTGGTGGCAGAGAAGAACATGTCAGCTTGGTAAGAGTGAGGGTCAGTAATGGTGTGTGAAGATTCAGCAGCTGCCGATGGAGATAAAAAGAGCTGAAGATGAAGGCTGGAAGAAGACCTGAGAGTGTCAGCTGAGAAAGAAGTGGGCTGTCCCAAGTGTGATCCCCTTGGTGTCTTCATTCCAGCATCCTCACTGAGCAGAGGGAATCCACTAGCTTTGTACATGAGCTCAGTGTCTTAAGCCAAGGAATAACCTGATCAGAAATGAAGACTTCAAATCAGTGCAGGCAAAGCTCTGAGACTACTAGCTTGAGATGCAGGTTAGGGCACACAGGGAAATTCACTGTATGACTTTTGTTAAAGGAGAGCCAGCTCTCTTAGTTACAATAACACTAAAGAAAACAGTAAGTAGGTGTACCTGCATTATGAATGTCCGTTTAAATATTTGTATCACAATTTAAAATACTTTATTCTTGGATAGATATTTTTATATTTGGTTCATCGTGGTTTCTTTGCAGTTCCAAATGCACAGCCACAGCGAGAAGTTCCCCAGATTTCTAGAGATTTCCAAGCTGCTGGAGCACTTCTCCCCCTCCCATCCAGAGCCGACTTTTCCTGCCCAAACTGGCATGTGATAGGAGAGAGGGGGCACTCCTCCCTCAGTTTTCTGTTTGCTGCCATGAGGAAAGGTTCTTTTCTCCAAGCATTCTTTCATCAGCATTCTGTATGAGTTCTTCCTCAGATTTCTTCCATCATCATTGAAGTTCTTAAAGGGAAAATGGCTACTTTCAAAAAGTGTAGACGGCAGTCTGATGAGGACACATCCTGTCTGTTTTGCCTGGGGAGTTGCACAACATTGTGGCTTGTGAGATCTGCCATCAGTTCAAAGCCAAGGATGAAAGGACAGCTTGCTTGGTGGCCGCCCTCTGGGAGAAAGCGCTTGGGGGCCTTGCCAATTTAGCCAGAAAAGATCCAGCCACATCTAGAAAAAGGGCCCAAATACCATCCTTAGCATCAGTGCCCTCATTGTCAGCCTTGGATCTGACCGACAACAGGATCCAAGAGCAGTGTTGGCTCCGAGAGCTACATTGGAACTGCTTCTGAAGAAATCCATGAAGGTGGCGAAGCATACTTCTCCTTGCCACCAAGCGTTAACCTCCCCTCAATGCTTATCCCCAGCTCCAAGGAGCAGGAACCCCATCCTAGGATGCCCTCACCATCATTGCAGACCCGAGTCACCAGCTTCTTCAGATGACAAAGTTTTTGACGTTCCACTTTCACCACAGACCTTGGTTCCACCAAGATCAAAGGCTCCATCATCTTCAGCCCTGGATTCAGCATCATCCCAGCCTTATCAGTGTGGCCCCTTGCAGGCACCTTGTTTCCCTTGCCCGCCATGTCCTTACCTCAGTGGGGACCGTGGGGACCGCAATTCTCTTGGCTGCAGCTGCAGTAATGGGGGATGTCCCCAAAAGCCTTTGGTTCTGAGCAACATCTGATTCCATCCACATGAATGGGCAAGCCTCATCCTGTCTCCTTCGGAACCACATGACTCTGAATACAAGGAGGGCGTCATCCATGAATCTGACCTTGAGTCCAGTGCTCTATTGGTTCCATCTCCTGATGATACTATATCACCCATCTCACCTCTGGAGGACCTCAGAATGAACTCTGAGCAGCTCATAAGGATTGCTAAATCCTTGTAGCTGTACGTTGTGTCCTTGGACCCAAAGCCAATGGATTCAATCCTGAAAGTTTTATATAGTGACCATATAGGCCCTATGGCCTTCCCAGCCCTCTAGGGGCTTTGTTGATATTGCTGACAAAACCAGCCAATTCCCACCTTTGTTTTAAAAAACACTAGAAAACTTATATAGAATAAAGGAAGAGGGATGCAAATTTTTATTTCAGCATCCCTGGCCAACTCACTGGTGGCAGAGGTTTTTGTTGTTGTTCAGTCGCACAGTCGAGTCCGACTCTTCGCGACCCCATGGACAAGATCTCGCCAAGCCCTCCTGTTTTCCGCCATCCTCTGAAGTTTGCTCAATTTCATGTTTGTTGCATCTATGACACTGTCTAGCCATCTCATCCTTTGCCGTCCCCGTCTTCTTTGACCTTCAATCTTTCCCAGCATCAGGGTCTTCTCCAGTGAGTGCTCGCTTCTCATTTGGTGCCCAAAGTATTTGAGCTTCAGTTTCATTATGTGGCCTTCCAGGGAACATTCAGGGTTGATTTCTTTTAGGATTGACTGATTTGATCTTCTTGCAGTCCAAGGGACTCTCAAGAGTCTTCTCCAGCACCATAGTTCAAAAGAATCTATTCTTCGGTGCTCGGCCTTCCTTATAGTCCAACTCTCGCAGCCATACATGTCTACTGGGAATACCATTGCTTTGACCATGCGGACTTTTGTGGGCAGGGTGATGTCTCTACTTTTTATTATGCTGTTGAGGTTCGCCATCGCTTTCCTCCCAAGGAGCAGGCGTCTTTTAATTTCATGGCTGCTGTCACAGTCTGCGGTGATCTGGGATCCCAGGAACGTGATGTCTGTCACTGCTTCCACGACTTCCCCTTCTATTTGTCAAGGAGTGATGGGGCCAGATGCCATGATCTTAGTTTTTTTTTGATGTTGAGCTTCAAGCCCACTTTTGCGCTCTCCTCTTTTACCCTGAGCAAGAGGCTCTTTAGGTCCTCTTCCCTTTCTGCCATTAGAGTGGTATCGTCTGCATATCTGAGGTTGTTGATCTTTTCCCCAGCAAACTTAATTCCCG